CAATTTAAAAATGAGCTCGGTGCCGAAGTTGCTGGGGTCCAAACGGCATTAGCCGGGGACCACTCGATGTGTATCTTTTGCGAGACTTGGCAGCATTTTGAGCGTCTGTCGGTTTTTTGAGCGTTTTCCAGGTCCACTAGCTTTTTCAGCGGCTAAGAGAGTATAGGCATCAGTTACCGCTGGAAACGGTACCGCAAAGCGTGAAACCACTCTAGCCCTCCGCGACTCTGGTCGTCTGTCTTCTAAGAGCACGTTCATACTTCGCGATCGCGAAGTATGAACACGCTCCAAGTCTCAGTCCTGGCTAGGGAAAGAGACGCAGGGGCTGTCTCCTCGGCTATATCAGCGATAATACCTATTTAGAAGAGGTCTAGTAGTGCCCTCAGCAAGCGGTACAGTATTTGGACATAGGAATGGAAGGGGTACGGTCAGGACATCCAAATTGTGGTGTCTCGCCCAAGCTTGCGTTCGTAGTTAGCTGTCCCGAGTTCACCTTGGATGCCATCAGGCATGTACGTACCAATACAATGAGCCATTCGACCGAGTTATAAAGTTTCGTTCGTGTCCTACATCCTCACAGTTTCCATTTTTTTATTTAAGTCGTCTTCATAGGCAAACGATGGGGACCAAGCTGTCCGTGTCAATCGAGGGTGCTACGAAACCAGAAATCGCTCCACGCGTCGACCGCCCACCAACGTTTGATCCTCAGTATGGCTTCGAAAAACCTAGGAAGGTATGTTTTGGTTTTGATGCATGATCTTTGCGAGGCTACAAAGATTTCGTAGGAATTCATAAGAAATAAATCCGCAGAGGACCCCCTTTCCAATAAAATAGGGCACTAGTTCGGCCTGGGGAGTGGGGTAGGGGTACTTTGCTCTTTCGCTGCCTTCCATCACGGCGTTCATTGCTTTGCAAGAATTAACGAGTAGTCTTTGCAAAGTTTGACTGATCACCTCATGGTTTCACTTTCACAAATATCAGCTTGTGGGCTCGACTCCACGATGGGAAAAGGCGAAAGCGTAAAATGCCACCCCAAGCCGAACTGGCTGAGCTGCGCCGCAGACGTTCACTTTACTAGATCAGTGTATTACATTAATTTTGGTTCATATTAGGTTAGAGAGATGAAGGCAACATGGGAAGAAATGGAGCAATTCAAATTGAAGGCCGGTCAACGTGATTATTGCGCTCATCATTTGATAGAACTCATGAAGT